TAAATACGTGAGTGTGAGTTGGACCTGACTAGCTTGTGCTACTAGGTCTGATGTCATGCTCTTTTCTTCATTGGATTTGACCTGCCTAGATGGGTCATTGGTCTAAGCTAGGGGGGGGGAGGGTGACATGGACCAGCCTTGCATGGGCCAGTAGGCCTGCTGCAGTGTTCCTTCTTTCTTATGTTCTTATATACAGTGGACCCCCGGTTAACGATATTTTTTCACTCCAGAAGTATGTTCAGGTGCCAGTACTGACCGAATTTGTTCCCATAAGGAATATTGTGAAATAGATTAGTCCATTTCAGACCCCCAAACATACACGTACAAATGCACTTACATAAATACACTTACATAATTGGTCGCATTCGGAGGTGATCGTTATGCGGGGGTCCACTGTATTTGGCTGGCTGGCTTGCTTGCTTGCTTTGGCTGTCTCTCTGTCTCTAGCTCTATCTATATCTCTGTCTCACATGCACACATAAGTACAGTTATTATACATAGTGTAAATTACCTAGGATAACCCAAAAATTTCAGGCAAAGATAGATAGACAGACAGACAGATAGACAAACATACTTGTGTGTATTAGTGAAAACAAAGCAAGGGTTCCCCGAGGACCCATTTATCAAATGTCACAGTTGTCATAACACCATTCTTCAAGGAGTTTCATATACTATACTCCAGGCAGACAGAAAGACAGATAAGCAGAGACAGATAGACAGGCAGACAGACAGACAGATAGACAGACAAGTTTGTGTGTAAAGTGATAACAAATATAGCGAGAGTTAGCTAAATACATGAGTGTGGGTGGGTGTGAGTTGGACCTGACTAGCTTGTGCTACTAGGTCTGATGTGCTCCTTCCTTCAGTGGATGTGACCTGACTAGGTGGGTCATTGGTCTAAGCTTGGGGGGGGACATGGACCTGCCTTGCACGGGCCAGTAGGCCTGTTGCAGTGTTCCTTCTTTATGTATTCGGCAGGCTGGCCGGCTGGCTTTGGCTGGCTTTGGCTGGCTTTGGCTGGCTTTGGCAGGCTTTGGCTCTCTCTCTATCTATATCTCTGTATCTGTCTATATCTCTGGCTATTTATGTCTCTGTCACATGTACACATAAGTACAGTTATTATACATAGTGTAAATTACCTAGGATAACCCAAAAATTCCAGGCAAAGATAGATAGACAGGCAGATAGACAGACAGAGAGATAAACAGATTGATAGACAGACAGATAAATAGACAGAGAGACAAGACATGTTTGTGTGTAACAGTGATAACAAATAGAGCGAGGGTTAGCTGGAGCAGTGTGCATTTATCAAATTTCACTGGGCTGTCAACAGTATAGAGATGCCTTTCATAACAACATGCTTCAAGGTATATGCCAGGGTATCTAAAACATTGCTAGGACCTATAAATACTTTGTATATATTTCTAGAAAATAGTAAATTACCCAAGTAGGTGTAAATGTTCACCTGTCAGTGTGATTGTGACTATTTGAGCACTATTTCAGTACCTAATATTAGTGTCAGAACAAAGATTGGCTATGAAATCACAAGAACTATTATAAATTGCAATTATCAGAACATAAAAAATATATAAATTAAAAAAAAAAAAGGGAAAAAAAGGTATATCGGCAACACTTCTGCAAGCTGCAGGAGTCGATGTTGCCGACAGGTGAGCATCCAGAGCCAATTTCACGGTCTTATATCTTCGTAAGTATTGACCCTAAAAAATTTTTTTAATCCTATAACATGTAGAAAAATGTGTTCTTCATTTTGAAAGAAATAAAAAAAAAAAAGAATTTTTTTGTTTCTCAAAATATTTGGAGCGCCACATGAGCAAACGTAGATTTACGTTTAGACAGTTTAAGGGTTAAAACTGTTTCAACTTGAAACTGTTTCAACTTGAAACTGTTTCAACTTGAAACTGTTTCAACTTGAAACAGTTTCAACTTGAAACCGTTCCAACTTGAAACCGTTCCAACTTGAAACCGTTCCAACTTGAAACCGTTCCAACTTGAAACCGTTCCAACTTGAAACCGTTCCAACTTGAAACCGTTTCACCTGAAAACTGTTTCACCTGAAAACCGTTTCCCCTGAAAACCGTTTTGCCTGAAAACCGTTTTGCCTGAAAACCGTTTTGCCTGAAAACCGTTTTGCCTGAAAACTGTTTTGCCTGAAAACTGTTTTGCCTGAAAACTGTTTCGCCTGAAAACTGTTTTGCCTGAAAACTGTTTTGCCTGAAAACTGTTTCGCCTGAAAACTGTTTTGCCTGAAAACTGTTTTGCCTGAAAACTGTTTCGCCTGAAAACTGTTTTGCCTGAAAACCGTTTTGCCTGAAAACTGTTTTGCCTGAAAACTGTTTTGCCTGAAAACTGTTTCGCCTGAAAACTGTTTCACCTGAAAACTGTTTCGTCTCAACAATGTTTCGCCTGAAAGCTGTTTTACCTGAAAACTTGTAGATGAATGGTTCAGAGAACCGACATGTTGATAAATTAGACACATGTGCAACTCTTGGGTATCTTTATTGAGGAAACATTTTGCCACACAGTGGCTTCATCAGTCTATACAAAGGAGAATCTTGAAGAACAGGAGGAGAATGAGGTAATCAGTCTCTCAACCTTGAGTCGATGTGGTCAGTCCATCAATCTTGAATAGAATACGGCATACGTGCGGAGAAGGAGCTTATAAACCGTTGGCAGGAGAGGTGCAGCAGTCATAGGTAGTGTCACATTTGTTCAATGTGGAAGTAGGTCGTGCCCAAGAATTAGGCAAGCGAAGAATTCCCAAGTATTAAGATCCCATTCATCTACAAACCTGTCAGACACTGCAACTTCTTGGTATCTTAATACTTGGGAATTCTTCGCTTGCCTAATTCTTGGGCACGACCTACTTCTACATTGAACAAATGTGGCACTACCTATGACTTCTGCACCTCTCCTGGCAACGGTTTATAAGCTCCTTCTCAGCACGTATGCCGTATTCTATTCAAGATTGATGGACTGACCACATCGACTCAAGGTTGAGGGACTGATTACCTCATTCTCCTCCTGTTCTTCAAGATTCTCCTTTGTATGGACTGATGAAGCCACTGTGTGGCGAAACGTTTCCTTAATAAAGATACCCAAGAGTTGCACATGTGTCTAATTTATCTACCTGAAAACTGTTTCACCTGAAAACTGTTTCAACTTGAAGCTGTTTCAACTTGAAGCTGTTTCAACTTGAAGCTGTTTCAACTTGAAGCTGTTTCAACTTGAAGCTGTTTCAACTTGAAGCTGTTCCAACTTGAAGCTGTTCCAACTTGAAGCTGTTCCAACTTGAAGCTGTTCCAACTTGAAACTGTTCCAACTTGAAACTGTTCCAACTTGAAACTGTTCCAACTTGAAACTGTTCCAACTTGAAACTGTTCCAACTTGAAACTGTTCCAACTTGAAACTGTTCCAACTTGAAACTGTTCCAACTTGAAACTGTTCCAACTTGAAACTGTTCCAACTTGAAACTGTTCCAACTTGAAACTGTTCCAACTTGAAACTGTTCCAACTTGAAACTGTTTCAACTTGAAACTGTTTCAACTTGAAATATTTCTGGTTAAAAACACACATCCTTCAAAAGCATATAGTGTATTGTAGATAAATAATTTAAATACATTTTTCAGTACATTTTTTGGACAATTATTCCAATAGAAATGCTCTAATTTTATGCACTATGTGCTACAATACTTCTTGCCACTTCAGAACTTATATTTAAACCTGTATATTAGTTCCTTATATTAAACTAAGGATACCTAAGGCCTTGCTCCTGCACGGAACTTGCCTGGTCCTTCTCAGTTTTAACTGGGTGCCCTTCCCTAGGTCTCTGCTGCAGTAGTAGTAGTAGTATTGTAGTGTGACAAACTTTCCCTGTGCATCTCCCAGGTTGACTGTGACTCTCGTGGAATTCTTGTGCATATATGGTCAAATGCAATGTAGAGTGTTATAAGTTAAAACAGTACTGATTTTATTGTCAAAATAATTTACTTTTTTTTGTGCCCCATAATAAAGCACTGAGGGGTATAATCCCCTGTTCCTGTTACAGGAATCAGTGATTCAAATACAAGAAGTGTGTTTAGAAAGAAGTCCATTGAATGGTGTCTCAGTATAAACTACAGTGATCTACCTCTTATTTGCAATCTAGAGTTGTCAGATATCCAGAGTTAGAGCAAAACATGTTACATATATCCAGACATTCAGACCATTGAGTCTGACACTATTGTTAAAGTTTTTTCTGCTGCCATCGCCTGTCGTAGAGTTGGAAGCACCACTGAATGAATCATCATGTGACCAAGTATCATGTCAGGTCACTTTTTCCTAACAAATGAACTGACAACAATAACAACACATCCAATATTCCAATGAACAGTTTCTGAATCCCCTGCTACAGGTAGAGTAACCAAAGATATGAAAAGTGGGATGCATAAGTTCAGTTGTAGTCAGTTCAGATATAAACAGTGCAACAAAACAAAGGCAACTGTGTTGAAGTTTTACACATTTTAATTTGTACAGGTTTGGTTAGCTTGATCTGAAGGATAAGGAATGGCAATGTAGTTCAGAGGGTCATTTGAATTATGTTGTCTGTGACTTTTCAAGACAGCGAGAGAATGAGTGGTGGTAAATGTGTTTCCTTCTTCACGTCACTTTAACTCATTGAGAATTGGTTCATGTATTAAAAAAATGTATGGTTGAAACTCTGTTACTTATGGAATGTAAATCTGCTGGTAAAGTTAAAAAACTCAGTTGCTGAGATACGTGTTTTGATGTTATAACTGAGCTTGATCGCTGAGTTTGCAGTGTACACACAACTGGGCATTCTGCCATATCGTGGAACTAGGTTAGGCAAAGCTTTATTCTTTTAAGGTTACCAACTTACAAAACTGGATGTTATTAAGGATGTTTGCTTTGTGTTTAACTTTGATGTTTCATTTACTGAAACTTTGAAAAAAGACATACATTCACTATAATTATTATTTCAGGTGCAAGACAAAAGTTATTTTATGGGTCTTCTGAGAACAAAGATTGCTGAAATGGGTAAAGAAATAACACGTCTGACTGGAGACATAGACTTTATGAAGCAGGAGCAATCAACCTTCTTAACCTATGATAAGAGAGTAAAGGAAATGGCACATGAACTGACTGGTAAGAGCCAAATGTAGGTTTCCCTTATGTTACATGTGTTTGCTGTCTGCAAATGCAATATCTCTTTACTCTCTAATTTCTTTACATTTATTTATTTATTTAATAATTTGAACATACATACAGAGGTACAAAAAAATACAGGTAAGAGCAGCATGCCAAAGCCACTTGTATGCATAGCAGTACGGGCAGGCTTAAAATTAACTTAAGATTAACTAAGCAATGATGTAATCAGTGATAAAACATTATTGTAAACAGATAACAATAAAGCACAAATGAGTATTACAAAGACAGGTCATATGGTTGCATGCATTGCTGTACATTCAGTAGAATGGAGTATTCTGTTATGTAGTGTATTTAAAAAATAACAATATGCTTTCATAATGTGTGATTGGTGCAGTGTAAAAAAAAAAATTAAAATGTTGATGGCGTGATTTAGCTTAGCACAGCAGCTACATGTTCTGAAACACACCTACTCCATGAACGAAGCAACACAATTCTTCCCCCGTAAGCCATGTGTGTCGTAAGAGGTGACTAAACTGCTGGGAGTAAGGTGCTAGTAACACCTGTATATATTACTAAATTTAAATAGAGAAACTTTTGTTTTTCTTTTTGGGCCACCCTGCCTTGGTGGGATACAGCTGGTTTATTGGTAGTAGGTTGGTAGACAGCAACCACCCAGGGAAGTACTACCGTCCTGCCAGATGACTGTGAAACAGAAACCTGTAACTGTTTTGCATGATGGTAGGATTGCTGGTTTCTTTTTCTGTCTCATAAACACGCTAGATAACAGGGATATCTTCCTACTCCTACTTACACTTTGGTCACACTTCACAGACACACACATGCATATATATATACATACATCTAGGTTTTTCTCCTTTTTCTAAATAGCTCTTGTTCTTCATTATTTCTTCTATTGTCCATGGGGAAGTGGAAAAGAATCTTTCCTCCGTAAGCCATGCGTGTCATATGAGGCGACTAAAATGCCGGGAGCAAGGAGCTAGTAACCTCTTCTGTATATATTACTAAATGTAAAAGGATAAACTTTCGTTTTTCCTTTTGGGCCACCCCGCCTCGGTGGGATACGGCCGGTGTGTTGAAAGAAAGAAGAAGATCTAGGTTTTTCTCCTTTTTCTAAATAGCTCTTGTTCTTCATTATTTCTTCTATTGTCCATGGGGAAGTGGAAAAGAATCTTTCCTCCGTAAGCCATGCGTGTCATATGAGGCGACTAAAATGCCAGGAGCAATGGGCTAGTAACCCCTTCTCCTGTAGACATTTACTAAAAAAGAGAAGAAGAAAAACTTTATAAAACTGGGATGCTTAAATGTGCATGGATGTAGTGCGGATGACAAGAAACAGATGATTGCTGATGTTATGAATGAAAAGAAGTTGGATGTCCTGGCCCTAAGCGAAACAAAGCTGAAGGGGGTAGGGGAGTTTCAGTGGGGGGGAAATAAATGGGATTAAATCTGGAGTATCTGAGAGAGTTAGAGCAAAGGAAGGGGTAGCTGTAATGTTAAATGATCAGTTATGGAAGGAGAAAAGAGAATATAAATGTGTAAATTCAAGAATTATGTGGATTAAAGTAAAGGTTGGATGCGAAAAGTGGGTCATAATAAGCGTGTATGCACCTGGAGAAGAGAGGAATGTAGAGGAGAGAGAGAGATTTTGGGAGATGTTAAGTGAATGTATAGGAGCCTTTGAACCAAGTGAGAGAGTAATTGTGGTAGGGGACCTGAATGCTAAAGTAGGAGAAACTTTTAGAGAGGGTGTGGTAGGTAAGTTTGGGGTGCCAGGTGTAAATGATAATGGGAGCCCTTTGATTGAACTTTGTATAGAAAGGGGTTTAGTTATAGGTAATACATATTTTAAGAAAAAGAGGATAAATAAGTATACAAGATATGATGTAGGGCGAAATGACAGTAGTTTTTTGGATTATGTATTGGTAGATAAAAGACTGTTGAGTAGACTTCAGGATGTACATGTTTATAGAGGGGCCACAGATATATCAGATCACTTTCTAGTTGTAGCTACACTGAGAGTAAAAGGTAGATGGGATGCAAGGAGAATAGAAGCATCAGGGAAGAGAGAGGTGAAGGTTTATAAACTAAAAGAGGAGGCAGTTAGGGTAAGATATAAACAGCTATTGGAGGATAGATGGGCTAATGAGAGCATAGGCAATGGGGTCGAAAAGGTATAGGGTAGGTTTAAAAATGTAGTGTTAGAGTGTTCAGCAGAAGTTTGTGGTTACAGGAAAGTGGGTGCGGGAGGGAAGAGGAGCGATTGGTGGAATGATGATGTAAAGAGAGTAGTAAGGGAGAAAATGTTAGCATATGAGAAGTTTTTACAAAGTAGAAGTGATGCAAGGAGGGAAAAGTATATGGAGAAAAAGAGAGAGGTTAAGAGAGTGGTGAAGCAATGTAAAAAGAGAGCAAATGAGAGAGTGGGTGAGATGTTATCAACAAATTTTGTTGAAAATAAGAAAAGTTTTGGAGTGAGATTAACAAGTTAAGAAAGCCTAGAGAACAAATGAATTTGTCAGTTAAAAATAGGAGAGGAGAGTTATTAAATGGAGAGTTAGAGGTATTGGGAAGATGGAGGGAATATTTTGAGGAATTGTTAAATGTTGATGAAGATAGGGAAGCTGTGATTTTGTGTATAGGACAAGGAGGAATAACATCTTGTAGGAGTGAGGAAGAGCCAGTTGTGAGTGTGGGGGAAGTTCGTGAGGCAGTAGGTAAAATGAAAGGGGGTAAGGCAGCCGGGATTGATGGGATAAAGATAGAAATGTTAAAAGCAGGTGGGGATATAGTTTTGGAGTGGTTGGTGCAATTATTTAATAAATGTATGGAAGAGGGTAAGGTACCTAGGGATTGGCAGAGAGCATGCATAGTTCCCTTGTATAAAGGCAAAGGGGATAAAAGAGAGTGCAAAAATTATAGGGGGATAAGTCTGTTGGTATAACCTGGTAAAGTGTTTGGTAGAGTTATTATTGAAAGAATTAAGAGTAAGACGGAGAATAGGATAGCAGATGAACAAGGAGGCTTTAGGAAAGGTAGGGGGTGTGTGGACCAGGTGTTTACAGTGAAACATGTAAGTGAACAGTATTTAGATAAGGCTAAAGAGGTCTTTGTTCCATTAATGGATTTGGAAAAGGCGTATGACAGGGTGGATAGGGGGGCAATGTGGAAGATGTTGCAAGTGTATGGTGAAGGAGGTAGGTTACTGAAAGCAGTGAAGTGTTTTTACGAGGATAGTGAGGCTCAAGTTAGAGTATGTAGGAAAGAGGGAAATTATTTCCCAGTAAAAGTTAGGTCCTTAGACAAGGAATGTCGTGATGTCACCGTGGTTGTTTATTATATGTATAGATCGGGTTGTAAGAGAAGTAAATGCAATGTCCTTGGCAGAGGTGTGGAGTTAAAAGATAAAGAATCACACACAAAGTGAGTGTCACGCTGCTCTTTGCTGATGGACACTGTGCTCTTGGAGATTTGAGAGAAGTAAAAAGCTGCAGAGATTGTGGATGAATTTGGTTTAGGGTGTTGCAAAGAAGAAATCTAAAAGTGAATTCAGGTAGAGTAGGTTATGAGGATAACAAAAAAGATTACGTGATGAAAGATTGAATATCAGATTGGAGGAGAGAGATGGGAGCGTGGTGAATGTATTCAGATATTTGGGAGGGGATGTGTCAGCGGATGGGTCTATGAAAGATGAGGTGAATCATAGAAAAAATTTGGATGAGGGTGAAGTGGGGAAAACAGTGAGTGGTGCACTTAGGAGTCTGTGGAGCCAAAGAGGGGAAGGTATGAGAGGTTATAGTTTTACAACGCTCTTATATGGGGTGGAAGCATGGGTGATGAATGTTGCAGCGAGGAGAAGGCTGGAGCAGTGGAGTGGTCATGTCTGAGGGGCAATGTGTGGTGTGAATATAATGGCAGAGAATTCGTAGTTGGAAGTTAGGAGGAGGTGCGGATTACCAAACTGTTGTCAGAGGGCTGAGGACAGGGTTTGTCGAGGTGGTTCAGACATGTAGAGAGAATGGAGCAAAACAGAATGACTTCAAGAGTGTATCGTCTGTAGTGGAAGGAAGGCGGGGTTAGGGGGTCGGGCCTGGGAAAGGTTGGAGTGAGGGGGTAAAGGAGGTTTTGTGTGCGAGGGGGCTTGGACTTCGCACGGCATGCTGTGAGAGCGTGTTTGATAGGAATGAATGGAGCAATGTTTGTAATACTTGACGTGCTGTTGGAGTCGTGAGCAAAGTAAACATTTATGAAGGGGTTCAGGGGAAACCGCCGGCCGGACTTGAGTCTGGAGATGGGAAGTACAGTTTGCCTGCACTCTGAAGGAGGGGTGTTAATGTTGCAGTTTTAAAAAACTGTAGTGTAAAGCACCCTATTTTTTTTCTGGGCCAAGACAGTGATTTGAGTGAATGTGGTAGAGAATAAGTTTTTTCTTTTTCGGGCCACCTGCCTTGGTGGGAATCGTGCCAGTGTCATAATAAAAAAAAAAGAATGCATATATTATATATATATATATATATATATATATATACTATATATATATATTTATCTTAATAGTTCTGGTCTTATTACTTTTCCTTTTATATCCATGGGGAAGTGGATGAGAATCTTTCCCTACGTAAGCCATGCGTGTTGTAAAAAGTAACTAAAATGCCGGAAACAATGGGATTAGTAAACCCCTTTTCACTGTAAAGATTACTAAAAAGAATAATAAGAAGATAATTGTCAAATTGGTGGGAAGGAAGTCTAAAATGTGCATGGATGTTGTGCAAATGATAAGAAAGAGATGATTGTGGATGTTATGATGAGAAGAAACTGGATGTCCAGGCTTTAAGTGGGAAACAAGTGAAGGGGGTGGGAGAGTTTCAGTGGAGAGGATATAAATGGGATTAGGTCAGGGCGTTTCAAATAGAGTTAGACCTAAAGAAGGAGAAGCAATAATGTTGAAGAATAAGCTATGGCAGGAAAAAGGGGACTACAAA